GATAGTCAAGTGAAGTGCAGGACAGTCAAACAGACTACTCCAGGAGAGAGATGGGAACATAGCCCCATTCAGTAGCCTTTATTATCCTTCTTCTAGTCATTTATTTGGATGGCAAAAGCCTCAGTCTAACCTGGCCTAATACAAACTGGAACCCTACCCAAACCCCAACTAAAACAAAATTAAGTGTTGGAAAATCTCTGGTACTCATCGATTTTGTGTTATTTTCCATTTTCTCCCCTAGTTGAAATGGATACAGAAGTGTCAATATACAGAGAAGTTGGCTCATCTCACAGCTATTTTTGGCTGTATGCAGTAGGAACTGCAGAGGCATGTAAAAACAGAAAGAATACAAAAGCAAATCAACCAAATACACAGAGGCAAATATGATTGGTGCTTAAAAGCCAGTAGCCTAAACAATTTTATTAACTTTTATGCCTCTGAGATCCAAACCTCATATTTTAAATCTAAAATGCACCTGTGTACTCAGAGAGAAATCACCTTCCCTCTAGAACAATGTGAGCATGGTAGGCTGACAACCACAGGAGAGCATGGTCCAAGCTCTGGCACAACGGTAACTAGTGAGACCAACTGGACTGTTCTGCAGCTCACTTCGAGCATCGCTGAGAATGCTCATCTATCACACGGTGGGGACTCCCTCCATCTTTGCAGGGTCTTGAAATATTTAGATGAAAATTAAAGACAGGTGGTTTAACCTTGTTTTGTTGAAACAGTCTTGATAAAAGTGCAGTCTGCCTTGGGGACCTGTGTGTTCCTTGTCTTCAAGCAGTACACCTGTCCTTGCCCAACATCATGTACTGAAGACAGAAACAGAAATGACTGATAGAGTTTATCTGTTCCCTTCCTTTCCAACCCTGTGAGAACTGATTTGATTATTTGGGTAGGTGTGAGTGCGCATCCAGGAAAGGGACAGATCCAGGGGAACCCACTGTGAGAGGGACGAGCTGGGGTAAGAAGTTTTGCAATGAGTTGTAACACATGAGGCTCCTGGCCATATTTACAACAATCTGTGAACTGCACTCCAGTCCTTGGAAAGTGGATTGCCTCATGTTCTTTAACCTTCCCCCCAAATAACTCTTTCTCTGGTCCGGAGCACAGCAGTCCTGGGAGAGCCTGTGAGACCCTGTGCCTGGGGAAGGGACAAGTTCTGCATTTCTACTTCAGTTATTCAGCAGGTTCGGTCTGTTGAATGAGTAACCTCACAGGTGCATCTGTATGCAATCCACTGGCAGGATTTAGGCTTCTAAATCACCCAGATATCATCACAGATCCCCTGTGGCAATCTCAAGAGCTGTCACTTTTATTTACAATAGGTCCTGGAGCCAGACCATGTACACATGCCACATGTGGCTATCTTTTCCTGTTCTATCAGTGATGATATGTGTTAACTATTCCAGCAAATATAAGAAATATTGCACTGCCAAGAAATGGAAGCCTGATTGCTGTGTTCTTTAAAGAAAGAATGCATTTTTTAAAATAAAATCATCCCCATTCAGTCAAAATTACAGTCAATTATCAGTGCCCTCAAGCCAAGATCTCTTAGCTCTGAATCTGATTTAACTCAGTTACTGAAGAACACTGGAAATGTCTGTCATTTTGGAAAAAAAAAATAACAAAATGACCTTTTATTCCTTAGTAGTCAGAAGGATTTTAAACAAGCTTAATAGGGGCAATTTTCTTCCTTCCATCTGTAGCTTTTCAAGATTAACAACACTTATTTTTCAATAATAGCTACCTGGTAGTCTTGGGTCACTGGGCTGTCTTCAAAGCATCTTTGCATTCAGTTGCACATCCAATTAACTTTATAGCTAAAATATATTTCTGCTCCTTTTTTTCCCCCTGGTGCCATCAAAATACTAATTTGGACAGAGACAAATGCCCTAGGACAAAGACAAATACATACCAAACTATCATGCATGTTTTCTTGAACCCCATGGGCCAAGGATAGCTCCTTCACGGTCTGCAAGAAGGTGACCACATTTTCGTGCTTACTAGATCACTTCCATGTAAATAGACCCCAAAGCACATAGTGTTTCCCTTTATAGCAGCTCAATTTAATACAAGAAACCACTGGAATAAGCTAGCTTTTTGATCCATAAAGCAGAGCTGTAATTTACATTTCGTTCTGTTTTTCCTTCTTATCACCACTGCTGTCAGAAGTCTCTTGATTCATTATTGTGGCAATGGAAACACTGAAACAGCAGCATGGGTAAATGTGGAAGATGCAGCATTACTGACCCGCTATTCCAGGACACTGTGGGTGTCCCAGGAGATTACATTGCCGGAGGGAAATGCAGTCTTGCTGATGGGTAGCTTTAGGTCCACAGAAGCTTGTGAACAGGCCCCAGAATTATTTAATAGGGAGTGAGTAAAGAGAGCAGAGCACAGGGGAACAGATTTTGTGGGAAAGCAAGCAGATATAACTTTATAGTAACCTGATTTTTGAAATAACCTCAAATCACCCCATGCCAATGCCTGTGACCCTGTACATACTGTCACAGCTTAAAGGAGACATGGAAGTGCAGAGTTGCCTCTAAACACTTCCACCCTGCACTGGGAGCCAGAATCCTGAAACCTCCCCTTGTCCCTAATGCTGGAATGGCAGAGCAGCAATGAGACCCAGGGTCAAAGCTTGTGACAAAGACAATTACATACCATGGCCCTGTATCGGAAATCCAGTGGGAACAGAGACCTGTGTCAGATACTCGCCCATGACCTCAGCCTAGCTTACCCAATTTGCTACAATGCAAATTTAAAACCAAAACTCAAAATGCAGACTTCTCAAGAGGCTGAATAAGGGACAAAAAAGTTTTCATAGCAGCTTGCCATTTTTGCCAGCCTCCTCAACAATTTACCAGCACCCCCAGCTCTTTGCAGGAGGATTCTGCAACCCCTGCAGCCCTGCCTGCACAGGGGCAGGAGCTGAGCCCCAGTTGCCCAGTGCCCCAGAGAACCAGCACAGACCTGAGGCAGATCTGGAACGCCTGGCTGAGCCCTTTGCTCAGCCCGCAACACTGCAATACTGTCAAACACAAGGAATCATCTCAAAAAGAGGCTAAGAAAAGGATCCTCTAGAAATTTTGCCCATTCTCATTACTGGAAGCCTATCTGACATAGTGAACAAACATGAAAACTTTTCCAGGAAACGTGTTTCTTTATTTAAATAAAAATTAGTGCCAATAGAAACAATAAACTTTAAATACATGAGACAATTATATACAACTCAATGTTAGGAATTATATACATCAGTTTTTTACAGATACAAATACATTTATACCAAAAGTAAAAGGACAAAGGAGAAAGCAATGGAAAATGTGACAACTCGCGCATGTCAGTCTCATTTGGAAAGTTTCAGGATTCAAGTGATTCCAGGCAAAATGCCAAACTTAATTTGGCTTCTTTCAAACTTAAAACAGCCCCTTTTGGAGTAAATCTACCAAAAAGCTTTATATGGTCTGATCCAAAGTTCACTGAAGTGGATGGAAAAATTCCCACTGTTTCAGTCTGAACCGAATCAGGCCCTTTCTGAGCACAATGGAGCCTTTGTTCTGCTGTGTTCAGAGAGAGACAGTGATACCTCTGCAGGCTAAACCATACTGACCCTGCAAGCCAAAAGCAGAGTTCTCCCTTCTAAACAGCAGAAGTACAGAAGACTCTTGCCTCAGTTCATTTCTGCTGTTCAGCATTCATATTTTTCAAGCTGTCTCTCAAGCTCTAATGCCAGTGGATAAATCACAGAGCTATTTTAGCGCAGGAAATATGTGGAGACATTTTGCATACATTTTGCTGTGCAATGCTTTAGATTCAGGCTCTTCAGCTCTCATGCTTCAGAACTAATCCAAACATTGTAATAAATTATTATAAAATATAAGGTATGATTGAAATATTCGTTATTTTATTTTTATTCACTCTTACTTCTTTCAACAGTGCAATAATTTAGTAACTAATTTCATGAGCATTTGAAAAAAATCACAGTACCATTAAATTAGGGGATAGGGAGTTTGTGGTGGTTTTAAAAACTAGTTACTAATAACTTTATAGAAATGCATGTGTCAAATGCAAGCTGAATATAAAAAAATGATGTAATGCAATGTTTATCTACACTGGCTTAAATAGAGCAGAAAGTTTATATTCTTTAATGATGTAAATGGGTACAGTTGTACTGACCTCAAATGGAGAATTTAACTCCAACAGAGAAGCACAAAATCTTGTGCATGTCCTCTGAAGTCAGGAGGACTCAGCTGATGACTTCAGTAGGGCCAGAATTTCACCCTTGCTAGGTTAAATTCTATTATGAATTCCACCTATTTTTCAAGGGGGCGTAACAGAGCAGCATTTGTTCAAGCCTTTCTACATCTTACACCTTGTAACAAAGATCTTTTAATGTCTTCTTTAACCTACAGATCTTTGCCTCTAGTGATCAAATGTACATATCTTTAAAAAATACAAAAGCAAAAAAACAGAACCACTTTTCCTACTAATAACTCAGTCAAAGGCTGGATTGCAGCAGAAGTTCATGAACCTGACCCAGCCAGTACAGGTACAACTTAAGCAAAGATAGATATAGTGGCATGGATCTGAAACTGGGCTCTACAAACCTCCTAGAAATTTAGTGTCTTTTTTAAAAAAAATTTTGTTTGATTCTTTCTGTGCCTAAAGCCAGTCATCAGCTATGCTGCAATCTCTCTTCAGTGAAAAATCAACATGTTTTCATCTTATGAGGCCTCATCAAGCAAATCTGCTGTTGGTTGTGGTTTGTTATAAGAAAACCACAGTAAAAGTACTTCTAGACTATCACAGGTTTGTGTGAATGAGCATTATCCACCATCTGTAACAACCAGATACTTGTGTTAGGGTAACTTCCCTAAATGTTTCCCAGATATCTGCAGAATTCTGAAACACACAGAGACATGCCAGTAATAGCTACCTCGTTAGAAAAAAAAAAAAAAAAAAAAAAAAAAAAAAAAAATATATATATATATATATTCTCCTTGCTCTTATCCTCATGGTAAGAAATAATGATGGAAAAATTAAAATTAAACATCCCAATTATGTGCAAGTTACACTTTGGAGTTGGGTACCACTGCTTCCCTGTCCTGCCAGCTCTCAGGAACACGTTGGGCCCAGGGGCACAGATACCTGTTCAGAGTACATTGGAAGGCAGGAAATCAGAACCACAAGTTCTTAGTGGGAGCTCCACTCACTCTTTGGCAGCTGATCAAGGGAGCCCTGCAAGTGCTAGGAGTTCTTGTGGATGTTTTCAGCAGATCCCTCACTGCTCTCATTGAGGAGCGTTTCTGACACTTCCCCCAGTTCAGCATCCAGCACTTCCTCCTGGATGGTGAAGTGCACATCTGGAGAGGAGGATTCAGAGCTCACACTGCTGCCTTCCATCGAGCAGATGGCGCAGGACAGGGACGGCACCATGCTCTCCTGCAGCATGTTCAGCATCATGGGGATCTGGACAGATTTCAGCCCCGATATGGTTGGTAGAGGCTTCACAGCTTCTCCCCATTCTCTCTCCTCATCTTTGTAGAGCAGTAGCAAATTGGACGATTTCTCTTTTCTTTTGGATTTCATGTAGCCGAGCATTATCCCTATCAGGAAGATCCCATAGAAAGACATGACGATCAGAATGTAAAAATATTCGTTGCTGCTGTTCTTCTCTGTGTTGTGCGATTCAGCATCAAGCATGGCTTGAGTCATATTTGCATGGTCCATCTTCAGCATGGAAAGTGTTTTACCACAGCTAAAGCCTGGAGGAGAATGTGTTTGTATATATAAGATCAAGCTTCAGATCAAAGATGTAAAAGAAACATCTGAAAAAAACCATATCCCCAAACTATTCCTTGCTACTTGTAATTTGTAAGCTTGCAAAACACACACCTGACTGAAGCTTGCAGTCTATCATACCTCTGCATTAATACTGTAAGTGAATGAACTGTTATTCAGATACAGATAACATTAGAGGGAAGAAAATACGTTATTTAAAATCATGTCAAGTTCTATGCTGAATTATAAAACTCCCAATCCACATGATTAACAAAGAAAACTATACAGAAATATTCTGCTAGGCACTTAAACATAGTTTTGTGTTACTTGTCCATGTTTCCAAAGGGGGGAAAAAAAGAAGTATTATTTTATTCAATGATGCAGGAAAAAAATCAAAAAGCAACTTACGTTGGTATGCAAATAATTCCTCCTTTTGCAAAGCTCAAGAGACCTTTCCTCTACCAAATGCCGGGTGTTCTGAAAACTTTCCTCTGCTGCAGTTGGAATAAATAGCTCTCAAGAAATGTTTCATCACGTGTTTTAGAGGCACAGTTTATAATAGTTTTGTGTTGGAGTCAACAGATGAACTTGAAGGATTGCAGTTCAACCCACTGAACTCTTAACAGCTGTGAAAAGAAAAAGAGTTGGGAATTCAGATTTTACTCTTTCCTAACCAGTTCAGCACTGGCTCTTTCAGCTGGTGAATCTGTTCCTATCATGGCCATCCCAATTGCTAAATCCAGCCTATTACCCTGAGAGCTGCTATGCAAAATAAAACCCTGCAGACTATTGTTCGGTGTTTGTCATAAAATATAGACAAATATTCATGCAAACTTTAGAGTAGACACTATCAAGTTCTTTACATGCCTGCTATACACAGTTTTCCCTGAAGAGATGGGGGAGGAAGCAGGTTATATTCTTTGCCTGGGACTAGTGACAAAGCTTTACAAAGTGCATGCAAAACATAGTGGTGACTTTCAAGTTGTGCTGCAGCTGCACTTTACCACAAGGAGTGGGGCTGTGGAGAACTTGGCCCTGGATCTCAAGTGAGTTTTGGATGGAGGGGTGCTGGTGCCACCTAACTTACGCCATCAAAGCAGCAGCTATGGGACTGGTTCCCCATATAACCAGTGGAAGGGTGCAGACTCCTCCAGGGAGAACCTTGGAGCTCCTGACATTAGGAGCCCCCTTCTCCCATCTCCTGCTGTTTGTAGGAGCAGCCAAGAGCTACATGGTCTGCATGTTGTTTATGCATAAATAGAACAGAGTTAATGCAGGTTTTAGTATGATGGGAATTAACAACTTCTGGGCAGAGGGAGGCTCTTTGAGTAACTGCTGGAGGCTGCTGCAGCAGGCTGCCGGGCCAAGCAGGATGCCTCCCAGACCGCTGGGGAGGGCAAAGTTAGGATGCAGGCTGGGTCGCAGGGCCCACAGAGTTCCCAGTCATCAGCTCAGTGGTACAGGAGGCTCTGAGACCCCTGTTCCACACGTAAGCAACAGTACAGGCCATGGGAAGAAGGAGGCCCAGCTTGCACCTTGGGGATTTCACTTCCTTATCCTCTCCATCCCCGTTCTTCACACACAAAGCCCAATTAGTCAGGCCCCACATGTGAATGTCACCCCTTCTGCAAAGCTTCAAGGATGTTTATGTAACAGAACACTCCACTTCCAGAAAGCAGTCGGCTGGTGCTGGAGTTTCCCAACGGTAGGTCTGGGTTTTTTTTCCCCTACAGTCACTTGTGGATTCTTTGCATAGATGGCAAATTCTTTTCCAAACTCTGCCCTCACAATCCCTCTGAGGTAAAGGCAGATAAGATTAACCTCTATTCACATGTAGGAAAAGGCAGGAAAGAGGAGTTAAGCAACTTTAAATGAAGAATTTAAGAAATACAGAATTGTATCTGTGTTTGGAACCAGCATTTTCCATAGTTTTCTCTGAATGACTCCACAAATAAAAGAAAAAAATTACATTAGCCTGATTCCCTTCTCTGCCCCTTAAAATACTGCATCCACCCTTTAGGAGGTTGGTTTTATCTCCTTGCGCATTCCCATGTGATAGCTCAGGAGCTGTTGATGTTGGACTAATGTCTACTGGGATTTCATCTGACAAAAATCTGTCTGCAGCACCAGCTTGCCAAGTCTGGATTCTTCTTCCCTGTTCCCGACAAATTACTGAGCAGGCAGCAAGAGCATATTAACTGGTAGGCTAAAGCAGAACCCAGAGCAAGTCTCTGGGTTTTCTAGCTAACTTTGGGGAATTTTTATTTCACAACTTTCTTAGCTCCGTGTGATACTTTGTCCCCCATTCAGCTCCAGAAATTTGGAATTTGAAAGATTATAAACAATGTGTCAGGTTTTACCCACACCCTTTTATGCAGGACTTTCACAGGATGGTGAGAAAACACCCAGCATTGTTGGGTCAGTGAAAACTCCGTACAAGGAGAAATCCCTTCTCTGTACCCATGACACCAGCTATGAAGCTGCTTGATGCTGGGAACAAGACCACCTAAAGCCCATCCTGCTGCCTCTGGTCATCAGTGTTACACACAGGTCATCCCTCACCCAACATGAAGAGCACTTTCAGACACACCTGGAGGCATCGACACCCCACAGCTCCCACCAGTAAGCCAGCAGAGCAGAGGCAGACCGGCTCTTCTGCAGGTGCCCACAGGTGCAAATAGGGTCTCTTATTTGCTCCAAAGCCTCATATTCTTCATGTAGGTGAAGCTCTGTGCAATGTGACCAAGATGAACTGCAGCACCCAAGAGGAGCACAAGGAGACTGGTTGAGTACATCCATAGATTGATGCAATCCCCTGAAGTTCAACTGCAAGATGACTGAATTGCATAATTAAGCGTAGTTATTGCCGAAAATTCTTTGCAATTATGTTTACTTTGGCTAGCTGATGACAACAACTTTTCTCCATCTGTTAGAATCATCTCCATGATTCTAAAAAATACTTTAATTTTAAAAAGGCCTGGAAGGAATCCCTGAACCTTCTATAGACATGAAGACAAGGAATAAGGTGACAATGGAGAATAACCACCTGAAAAACAGGCCATTTGCTTACTGGTGCCATAAGTCAGCTTTCTCAAGCTGAACCCCATAGAAACTATATTTTTGTCTGAAAACAAGACCTAGAAAATTGAAAATTTGAGCCTTTTAGTCTTGTGTTTCAACATTACTTTTGTTGCAAATTATATTGTAAAACCATTGATCATGGCAAAAATACTTGTTTAATTTGAAATAATTTAATTTTTAGAGTGAAGGTTACTAGCTATTTTTTGTTTTGAGGTTTCTTTCTTCCTTTGAGATCAACTTTTTCCCCCCCAAACTTAACAGAATTTCCCCTGAAATTTAACTTACAGATATCTTCCACTTTCAGTCACTTGTTCACCTTCTTTGAATCAATCCCAACCTAGGCTATTATATTTAAGAATAATCATCACGCTGTTGCTCCCACCTTCTATTTTCCCCCTTTGGAAGACATTCAGACTGATAAAGCAGAGCAACAGCCAGGCACTCCAGTGATGAAAAGGTCACAACATAGTTGTTGATGCCAGATTTTTTTTCTCAAGGTCCATGTCTCCTAGAGAGCCTTTTGTGGCAGCAACCTCCGTCACCAAAGGACGCAAAAGTGGAGGCTTGAGGCATCCCCTGGGGCAGGAATTCTTCACAACATGGCTTAAAGGATAGTATAATGTGAACCCTTTCTCCAAATAAAAATTTGAGGACAGCCAGAACAAAGACAGAATCCATTATGAAGACAACATGAAACATCCTTAGAGACTCAGATGACTCTCCGCAGGCTGCCATGGAAAATATATGCCTAACCCTTCATTATGGGCATAATCCACGGTCTGATGCTGCATTTATCTTTCTTTCTCCAGTTAGTGAGTTAACAAGACTAAAGATACAAGAGACAACTGTTAAAGAGCTAACTCCTATGGAAATCTGACCCTGTTTGATAAGTGTGTGCTGACAGTATCACTCTAAAGAGTATCTGAGCATGTGCGTTTTTGGAGTAATTATCTGAAAATCTGAAAAAAAGTGGAAAGAAAAGAGAAATGGGAAGGATAGAGGGATTGGTGTTTTTTCTTCCTGCACATAGACCTTTAATGGAAGTAGTGGTTGGGAATTTACTGCTAGGGAGAAAAAGGAGGGAATGGTTTTGCCCATGCAGATATTCACTTAGTTATGATTTAGACCTTCCAGACACTGCAGTTAGGAAAGGAGAGCAAAGACGATAATTTTTTTTTTTTTCACTCACATATATGATTTCAATTAAAGTAGTATTAGACACTAAGAACTGAGTTCGACACAATAAAGGAAGACACAATGAAAGGGATGTTTGTGCCCTTGATTTGCCTTGTGTTTAAAGACCTGCAATGCTGAGAGATATGTACTGACTTTTGGTCCTGCTGCAAAACACACACCTCACTAAGAACCTGATCCAAAGCTCCTTGAAGTCAAAGCCCCTTAAAGTTAATGGCAGCACCTCACTGAAAGCAAATGTTGGATCAGGAATGGCACCTGCTCCTTTCAAGCTCTGTGCAACTCAGAGTCAATGTTCAGTGAAGCTTGTGAGTGTGTTGGAATGAAAGAGGTAGTTCAAAAGCAGCAAGCGAGCCATGCACTCATTCCCAGAGGAGGGAAAGAGTAGCAGCCCAACGCAAGCCACGTGCCTCCTCACTAACAAGCCTAATTACAGTATGAAATTTATGAGCTTTACTTTATGCTCTTAATGCCTCTATGCCTCAGTTCACCCACTTGTGAAATGAATCTAATAATATCTACAAATTACATGTGCTGTGAGGGTACAGCATCACAATGCACTTGCAGATCACTACCTGAAAAGGTAGTAACTGTTGTGCTCATAAGCACAACAGCATAACCGCATGTCTGGGCTGGCATCTGAGCAGTTCTCACACAGCTCTAACTTCAGTGTCATTTTCCATCACTCCTCCTTATTTTTTGTACTGCAGAAATAGATGACATCTTTTATATACTTCACACAAGCATTTTCTGGAGGAAGGTGGCAATTTTCTCGGTGTCATCCACAGTATGCCATGTTACCATCCAGATATTGAAGGGAAGTAACCTTCTGCCCAGTTATTAACTGGGAAAAGCTTAGTAAAATGCTACAGCTCTACCTTGCTACCTTACAGTCTTCACTGGTGAAAACATGCATCAGCCTCCTCTCCAACTTCAAGGTTTAGTTTGTTTTAATTTAAATTTTATTTAATCTTCATGGCAGATCATGAAATTTCAAGTTTCTCAGGCATTCCCTACACCTAGAACAGCAAAAACTTTCTGTTTATCAATAGTAGCAAATACGGGGCTCAGAAGCACCTCACAGTCAATGTAGCCATCTGCCCTAGTGCTCTCAACTGTAGCAGTGGCAAGAGATTCCCCAGAAGTCACGTCTGGAGTATCACAATTGCTCTCCAAGCACACAACAAAGATCTGTAAGGCAAATTGTTTTCTGATCCTGAGGGATGACAAGCAATAGAAAAACTCAGTGATGTCTGTAATAACAGTTTACACTAAATTTAGCATTTACTTAAGGCATATGTTGTGGGACCCTTGGAATTTTGGGATAGGCATTTGTTTTCAGCCTCTAAACTGAATTTCAGAAAGCTATGAATGACCAGAAACAGA